TCATAATAGCTAATGAGCACTGCACTCTGATGGAGGATGTCACTATTAGATATCATAATAGCTAATGAGCACTGCACTCTGATGGAGGATGTCACCATTAGATATCATAATAGCTAATGAGCACTGCACTCTGATGGAGGCTGTCACTATTAGATATCATAATAGCTAATGAGCACTGCTCTTTGATGGAGGCTGTCACTATTAGATATCATAATAGCTAATGAGTACTGCTCTCTGATGGAGAATGTCACTAATTAGATATCATAACTACTAATCAAAAATGTACTTTATGATCATCCTGAAATGTTATGAAATGGGATTACATTTACTTAGAATAGTGGGCTGCTTTTTCACAAAAAAAGGATTCTTGATTAAAAAAATTAATTATGGGTTTCTTAGAATTTCAATTATTAAATAAGCAAACGATGATATAGGCCAAACATACATACCAGATGCAAGTGATCGTGTCGTAGAATGAGAATCACTGTCACTGCTCAATGAATTTCTCTGGAGCACTCTACTAGTCTTAAGAGATTCATTTGCATTCAAATTCGATATCAATAAATCAGCTTCCTGGCCATTGCTTTCTAGGGAAGAAGAACTGTCTCTTTTTGTAGTGGAAGGTACCCGTATTGTGCGAACCAGTGTTAAATTCCGTAGCCTGCTAGACATTTTGGACCACCACATCTGTAACGAACATTAATATGAAAAGTAAGTTTACACAGGGGCAGATCAAGGGGTGGTGAAGGAACTGGCTAGCCCCCCCCCCCCTCCCTCCTCCCCCTGCTCAAATTTGTCAGCATTATCCTAAGCAACTCCCCTTTACTAAACAATAAAAGCAGCTGATTACCTTTAGCCCAGTCTTGCCCAAGTCGGGTCTGAAAACAGATATTATATGTTGATAAGTATTTAAAAGATAATATCATACTGAGTTTAATTAATCCATACAAAATTACTCACCCTGCTTCCAGTTTAGCCAGTTCTTTAGTAGAAATATCCTGTGTATTCATTTTAGTTGTTGTGTCTAACTTTGACATGCTCCCTGTAGCCCAGGAAATCAAACCATGCTCTAAAAAAATTATTATTAATAATTATAAAAATTATATCATTGAATATGTTTTAAGTATACATTATAGATGACATGTGCCCAGGACTTAAAATAGCAGCCGGACATGGGACAATGGCCACCGATCAGAATTGGAACTTGTCCAGACAAATCTTTGCCTCACCAGTCATTTTGGCCAATAACATTTAGCCCAAAATGAGGAATGACTGAGCTAAAACTAATACTTGACTTTCACCTATGTCACTGAAAATTTTCCAAAGCCGTTATATACCACAAAACGTCCATAGACCAAAAGAGCAGCAAAAACTATATATCTCAGCCAAAATTTAAGCTAAAAGMAGTTTAGATGGAGATACAAGTGATAAATTATACCCATAATATCAAAAGTGTTCTTTTCTTTTCCTTAAGGCTCATGTAATTATTAAGGAATGTACATACTACAGAGCAATACGAGTTGATTAAATTTTCACAGGTTTTGGTTGAATATATGAATACTTTAACTCACAACTGAGACTAAGGCTGAGCAAAGAGAATTCAAAAGTGGAGTATTTGGCCGGTCATCATGACCAGAGACTGGCTGGCTGTTATTTAAAGCCATGGTGCTAGCTAAGCAAGTTATTTGATGAAGGACATACTATTCTTGTTGTTGGATGGCAATTGCATAGTAACTGATGCCAGCAACCTTAAAATATCTGTATCACCTGAAATGTTAAAGCAAAAACTGTATTTAATTATTTATCCCTTTGATCACTGACAAAGTAACTGGGCAATTAACAATGAAGTTGCATAAAATTTGATGTTGTGAAATTTGAAATTTAAATTTTGATGTTGTGAAAAAATCTAGCTTGGGCATGGCTAACTCACTGATCAAAATGGAATTTTAGCTTGTTAGGTTTTGCAGAAGGAGGAGGAAAACCTGTAAAAAATCCTTAAATAAAAGGACAACCTAACAAACTCTGAAGCTAAGTCATGGAATCAATCTGGAAACCACAGAGATAAGAAGGTCTAATGCACTAACACTACATACACCAGCCTTGATTCCATTCCTTAAAACTTTCAATAATTTATTGCAAAACATGTCTTATTATTTCAACTTAACACCCCATGACATAAATATTCAATTCAAACCTTTAAAGGTCTAAATAATGTTTAATTGGACTAAAGGAAGAAAGAGATCAAGACATCTGCATGGATGTCTTGTAACAAGTATGTATCTTACCAATAATAGATGCCATATCAAATGCTGTACATCCATCATCAGCTTGAATGTTGACATCTGCTGAATGGTCCAGCAACAGCTTAACCACTTGCTTGTGCCTTTACAACACAATTTAGAATTAAAAACAGATTGAAGGCATAGTAATAATAAAAATGATGGGATGTTCTATGCGTTTTACATTTTATGACTAGTGGAGGAGTTTACAGGCTGCATATATTCAGCCACTATTTAAACAGCCATGCAGCTTACAAATCATGAGTGAATTGTTAATAGTACATTAGTGTGTTATGCCTCCAACTTGCGATAGGCTTTTGAGCCTGGAGACAATCCCCTATTCTTACACAAAAAATTGAACACTTAGGTTGTTTTATGTCCTCGATTTACAGGTTTTAAGGGTTGGGAGGCAGGGCCTACAGTTTTAAGTCCTTATCGAAAAAGACTGGAAGGTCTAGCCATTTGTAATAATCTGCATCAGTGGTTCTTTTACGCCCCTCCAATAATGTTGGTTTGTAATGATGAGTGTGGAGAGATGGGACCGCCATTTAAAGTGATTATTTGAGCCACTTGAAAGTCTAACCATTGGCAGATGTAATTATAAGTGCAGCACCTTCTCCTTGGTTATTTTAAGACCCTGAGTGTTGGCCCAGCCGAAGCTTGAACCATGAACCGCACAACAGACCAACACATTTGTCACCTGCCTGAGCTAACTGGGTAGCGGTTATATACATACTGAACCAAACATGAAAATCAATAACATTAACTGTGAGTGCCACTGAAGTAGTTTAAACTTTCAAGTCAGCAGCCACTACGAGAGTTTTCTCCAGTTTTCCTCGCCTCTCCTTCCTTTCCTCTGATAAGATCGACTTAGAAAGTCCAGTTTGATAATGAATGAGGGTCACAGGTTTGTAGGCCACTGGCTATATATTGAGACAGTGCTTCCCTAAAAGCAAGGACAATGTTCTCTTGCAGAGTCATTCAAAAAGCCTTACCTATAATAAGTGGCTTGCATTAATGCTGTCCATCCACTTATCTTATCTTGACTATTAATGTTACATCCTTTCTCAATAAGAAGATGTGCAACATTGAGATGGCCTCGCATGGATGCAAACATTAATGGTGTTGCCCCATCCTCATCTTCAAAACAAATCATATTATGTTTATTAAAAAACAAAATTTGGATTATTTAACCACCACACAGTTAAATGGCTCATCTGATCAGACTTTCATGCAGAAGGTTCCTGGCTTTTACCAACTAATCAGTGCTACCTTTTATAATAACATCTCTAAGATGATAAGACTTTGTGGAATTTGTGTGGCTTGGATATGACCACCTAAAATGGTGATCCTATCTCTTCACCTTCACTTATAATTAATCTGCATTTTAAACCCTGGAAATGACCACACTTGGTGTCTAGCCTTAGGGTTATGCATGGAGCTACATTTTWAAGAAAATCATCTAAATACATGTACAGTCTGCATAATTTTGTAATATACCTGTAGCATTTACATCTGTCTCACTCATCTCTAGCAGTTCACGCAACCCTTGAATATCTCCTGAAATTAAGCAAATAATGATAAATACAAATAGAATACAAAATTATAAGCCATCAAACAGAAGGAAATAAGTTTACATAGATCAGGAAACAGGTTATTCATTACATTTACTTTCTACATTTATATTTAAACATTTAGGACTGACAGGTGCCCCCTTCTTATAAAATATTTAACATTGCAGCTCCCAATATATTCATGATCAAGTGAATCGTCTTACTATGCTTATAGGTACTTTTAAATGCATCTATAATCATATCAAAAGCAATCATAAACAAGAGATCTTACCACTCCGTGCTGCTTCAATAATACTTGGACGAAACATTTTCTGGCCTATGAAGTAACAATATATCACAAAATGTTTTTTTTCAAATTTAAGTAGAGACTTAAACATCTTTCATAATGCACTCAAATGAATCCCATACATGTTTTATTACATTAAACAAATACTTTTCTTCAATAAGAAGACCACTATGTGCAATACAATACATTTATTTGCAGTCCAAAAGGTTGCTGCACAATATTGCAAAATATAATATATTGCCATGCAAGATACGGAGATGTGATTGGATGATTATTTCTGAGGTATAGTATAATGGATTTGTAGCTTGTATAATTAAAAATAAATAAATATCACACACAGAAAAAAACATATAGCAGGGGCAAATCTAGTGGAGGGGTGGAGGGGTGTCACAATCACCAAGATGAGCTCATATCCATACTGCATTATTGGTGTTTGAGTTTGTAAGCAAAGGGTGCACCCCCTCCTAAAATGAAAATCCTGGATGGTTCACCACCCCCCCTCCCCCCCCCCACACACACTCCCCTCCCCTGAGAAAAAATCCTGCATCTGCCCCTGATATAGCATTGCATATTCTTTGTAACTTGCTTTGACGAGATCTTTCATTTGCCTAGACAAATGTTGCTAATTATAGTAACAAGTACATGTTGCATAATATTACAGTATATCAATAACCTTGAAAATTGGGTACCCTTATTAGAATTCAATAWGTATAATCTTATGCATAAAGATACACTTGTCTAATAAAAAGCTGGTACATCATGAAATGATTTAGATAAGATTTAATTAATGCAAAAGCAGAACATCTCATATTCTCTGAATGTACTAGAAGAAATATTGCACAATGGAGATACAATTTCCCATCAAAATATATCATAGTGAAAGTAAAGAAATATTTATGCTTAATACTTGTCAAATGGATGCTTTTTTCCGGATATAATTGTGTAACATATATATTTCATGCTAAAAATAACCTGGTACGTGCAGTGAATCAGTCCACTGATTATGTTATGTTATCTTTAGTGAGTATGTAGTGGAGCTAAAGTGTTCATCTTTGTTTGGAAGAAAAGACTAATCTAGTGTGATTACACGTCTAATTACGGAACTCAGCAAGTATCACGCTTCATTTAATATTACGACTAGAAACTCCCTCTCATGAACACAAACACTTAAAACAAAGAATTTAGACAAGAAGTTTTAAGGACAGTTCGTAGAAGAGGATCTACAAAATATCCTTATWATGTTATCATAAACCAACCAATTTATTATCATCACGAATCAAAGTATTTACCTGGAACTTGTGGTCTAATAGTGGTCTTTCTATCTAAAAACGTTTCCACGTCACTTCTTTGTCGAATAGCCGCAATTTCTAAGGCTGTTTGATGTAGAATATTCGTAGAGTTTGTATCAGCTCCATACTCACACAGTTCTTGTACAACAGACATATGGCCGTTTAATGAAGCAAACATTAGCGGAGTCCAACCAGTTACTTCATCTTGGTAATTCACATCAGTACCTTTTTCCAAAAGCAGTTTAACTACCTGTTCATGGCCGTGTTGGCAGGCAATTAATAAAGCTTGGAAACAATTATTAGACAAGAATATTTGCTGTTCTCCTTCATAATCACTGCTTGCTTCGATCAATAGCAATACAACCTGAACATGACCAGAACGTGCTGCACAATCCAACGCTGTCGCTCCAAGGTCATTTGTAGCACAAATATCCGCTTTGTGTTGTAGTAATATTCCTACAATCATCAGGTGTCCATAGCAAGCAGCGATCATAAGTGGTGTCCAGCCATAGCCGTTACGGGTATCAAAACTTGCGCCTCTACTGAGTAACAAGCGAACCATGTTGTCATGTCCATTAGCAGACGCAGTGTGTAAAGCACTAACTCCTTCTTCATCAGTTGAATCAACATGGACACCTTGATCTAGTAAATCTGATGCCGCAGAAACATTTCCTTGTTCTGCGGCATGTAGTAATTTACGTATTTGGTCCATTTAGATGGAAAGTAAATTCATTGATGCGTTCCATAATCTGTGTAGCGTGATCAGACTACCATAAATACCAAGGGGTTGGTAATGGMGAAATTCCATCATTGTTAGTCGCTCTATCTAGCTAATATCACAGCTCAAACCAACATTACATGATGTAGAAACCTGTTGCAATAATAGCTTGTTCTAATACTTAGCCTCGGCGGATTTTTCTAAACTACCGAGCAGCACAAAAACCTGCCATAAACTCACTTTTTCCATCGCGACAAGAATGCACTGGCGGAAATGACGTCATATTTWAACACCTGCCCTAATGACATCCTAGCTAGTGTGGGTTAGATCAGAGCATTCTTTTAATTCTTCCCATTATTGCTTTCTTTCTTCTTCTCAGGCCCTTCGCTAGGACCTTAAAAGGGAGATTCCTTTTTCTACCAATTTAAGTTATGCCATTTCTTGATAAACATTTTATTACGTTTTTGGATCTAAAGCTCTGATCAGAAGCCTACGCTAGATTGGGAAGTTTATAGCAGCTATCGCCCAATTTAAAACCTGACCTTAGTATCAAAATGCATAGAAAAGGTGGTTGCTATGCTTCACAGTTATCACGTGCAGAACAATAATTTAGATGAGATCTTTCAATCTGCCGACAAGCGATACCACAAGCACAGATAGTTAATTAAAGTTCACAACGACATCCTGAGGGCCATCGACGAGGGCAAACGCTCTGTAATATTGCTGCTACTACTATGACCTGTCAGCGGCTCTTGATACCGTGGACCACGAGATCTTGTTAAATCGATTAACGCAGAAATTTGGTATTGCTGGTCTTGCATTGGAATGGTTTAGATCTTGTCTCTCAGACCGTAAATATGCTGACATGACATAAATAACTCCCAATCCACAAAGCGTCCTCTTACTAGCGGAATACCGCAAGGCAGCGTCTTGGGTCCTGTGCTGTTTACCTTGTATACCAGCCCACTTGGTGATATTTTAAGACACCATGAGGTCAGTTTTCATCTGTACGCTGATGATACACAGTCGTATTCTAAGTTTCAAATCAGACAAATTGGACAACATTGAACTAGCAAGATCTACAATAGAAGCATGCATGGTGTTCGTGATATTGATTCATGGATGATCATCAAAAAGTTAAAAATGAGCAGAGACAAGACTGAATTACTTGTATCTTGAAAGCGTAACACATCCCCACTCCAGTAGAGTCTGTTCGAGTTTCTATTGAAAAAATCAAGCCTTCAGGCGTTGAACATTGGGATTCCCGTTCTCTTTGACAGAATATCAAATATGGAGCAACTCATTACATCTGTGACAATAAATCAGCGTTCTACCATAAGGAACATTAGCCGTATAAGAATACATAGGAAAGCTACAAAATGAACACATGGGACTTATATGAATTATATCAGGGACGTAGGAGCTTTATTTTTATTGCGGGGCTACGTAAAATGAAAATTAGGGATGCACATTCAAAAGAGGGTCAACAGCGGACCACAACAAGTCCCCAAATTTGAATAGTTTGAGTTTTTTATTGATTTTTWAAAATTTATATTATGTTTCATTTTAAACACACAAGAAAATCTCTTATTGTCTAAATCTTCTTATGATGGAAGATTATAAAAGACATATCTAACAAGATAAGTGTTGTATAGTTTTGCATGTACTTTTAATTTTGACAAGCGAGGTTTATATTGAAGTGATGATCCTAACAGTGACTCTAACTTGCTAAAGACCTGGCACCAGCGGAGATTATCCTAGACAATATGTAAGCAACTAAAATATGTACATTTACAGCAAAGAAAAGCAGGTATGAGATAAAGGAGAAACAAAAGTTCTTTGAGTAAATTCTATGTTACTTTTAAAAAATGTTGCAAGCATAATAATGTAAGCCACTGTTAAGTATATATATCTAACGATGAAAGTACAAAGTACTTTAAGTTCCAAGTAATTATTAAAGACAATAATCTTGTTTCAATACAAGTTCCTGTTGTGACCCTTGTTTCTTATTATTATATTAATACACTGGTTTAGCTTGTTGTGTTGGGAGAATTCCAAATCTCTTCTTAAGGACTATTCTGTGCCTTGAATATTTATCATCAGGAGAAAAGCGAGCTGAAAAAACAAAATATTGTGCAATTAATTTCTAGTATACTGTTGAGCAACAAACTGAACCAAGTTCAGAACTTCAGTGGGAAGTTCAGAAAACTCATAACAAACTTGGTTTTGAAGTTCAATTGCAACTTTGGAATTTCCAAACTCATTTTGGAATGTGTTAGAGAAAAGTTATGGGAAAGTCACTGTAAAACCTGGGTTAAACACAAAACTCTCCTCTTTCTAAGAGAAGCTACATTTTTTTAATGGAGAAAAGGCTGGGGCTTCAAAGTGGAGGGTTATCAGTAATATTATTTAATGAGTGGCATGGGTGGCATAGTGGTTTACTGCTCACTTCTCACTGAGCACTGTGCAGTGGTCCAGGTTTGAGCCCCAGCTCAGACTGGATCATAGGTGAGTTGACTTTATTTCATGTTTTGTTCTCCCTCTTTGCCAAAAGGGKTTTTCTCCAGGTTCAGGTTTACCTCTCCCCATTAAAATCAGTAGGTAGTGGTAGTGGGTGTGGAGAGAACCTCACAGAAGATCCCCCTATGGGGATTGATGGTTGTAAAATTATTATCTCTTAATTTTTGCAGGGTCAAATGGGCCTTTCTATTTTGACTGAAGCTCTTTCCTTCCAAGGAACCAAAGAAGACACTACAGAATTATTATCAAAACCGGATGTCCTTTAAACTGTGCAAAAAATTGACCTGAATTTTCTTTTCACCCCTTTGAAAACTACCGCTTCGAAGGCCTATGGAGAAATATAAAAATCTTTGATAATCTATAAAAATATATATATAATAAAATAAAATAAAATATAAAATAAATGATTTTTTAATGTCAATGTCGTTTGTATTTTTCTTAGCTCTTCCAGAGTTAGGATAATATTAACTCTGGCCCTTCGGCACTGTTGTTTTCAAATGCGCGAAGAGAAAATCTGTAATCACGGGATCACATATTTCACAGCATGAGCCATATATGAGAAGTGAAGCTTGGCATTTTGTTTTTTCACAGTTCAAAGGACGTCCAGTTTTGATAGGAGGAAGAGAGGCAGATGCCTTGTGAAAATGCCACAAATGCCACTCAAAACTCTTGAAATCACCACATAACCCTAACCCTTAATTTCAAAATTTTCCTGGGGTACATAAACAATTTGTCTTTCTACTGCCCTGCCCCTGTTGACTGAAATTATAATAATGTAATGAATCTTTTAGGTCTAGGGCAAACGTTGAACTTTCCATGCACCGAACTCATTAAAAACAATGGATATCAGGTGATAATGAGGCGTTATTCTTTGATGCAATTAAGTTCGGTGCATGAAAAGTTCGACGTTTGCCCTAGGCCTAACTGAGAGAAAGAGGGAGGGCTACATTCTTTTCAAAAAGTTTACTTATCATCATAATTATCATATTTTTCTTTTAGGCAAGTTTGTGATCTTAGGACGTTTCTGTCTGGATATATGGTAAGGGTTTAGGTTAGGGTTAAGAGTCGCATGTAGTCCTATGTCTTCATCATTGTTCTCCTCGCCTGTTGGGTGTCTATATGTATCAGCGGGATTCTATCCTATTCGATATTGTTCTGGATGTTTCTTCCACTTGAGTCGATATTTGGTTTTCCATCTTTCTTACTTGGAGCATTCTTACATCCATATCATTTTACTGAATCTCCCGGCCCCCCATTGTATAGTACCCCTCCAAAAACAAACCCTCTCTAAAGGCCGAATTAGATGGTACGATTTTTGCCTACAACCATTGCATGCAACCTGCTCATGTCATACTTACGACATGACTTAGGTCAGATCCACATGCCAACCACATTTACCTATAACTCGCCACTTGTCTTGTATCTTTTTTGAAGTAATTGGCGTGTCTACAGTTGAATAAAACACTCTCTTTACTCCAGAGACCAATTAAAACATCAACTTCTTCGTCAATAAAATTAACTGTATCTTTTTTGTCTTCGTCTCACTTGGTGGGCTTGATTTTGTTTGCAAAATCAGTGTTGTTGTTATTGTTGTTATTGTTTTGTCCGACATTTTTATCGCCCCATGGACTCCCCCACAGACTCCCTCTCGTATTGGTAGGGTATTTTGAGCAAATTTTCCCAGGGGGTACTCTTGCCCATTTAGGGTAGGGATGTGCCGCTGAGCCCTCTGAACCCTGACCCTGTTCTAGACTCTTCCACAGTCTCTCGCTCGTCTGTTCTGTCTCCACGCTTAGAGACTATAACGGTACAATGACCGAAAGGACTTATGGGTCCCGAAAACTTGGACCCAGCGTGCTTTGGGAACCAAAATACTCGTCCACAGTCTCTCTCGTTTTCGCCGCCATCTTGAAAATATTGAAACGAGAGAGACTGTGGACGAGTATTTTGGTTCCCAAAGCACGCTCGGTCCAAGTTTTCGGGACCCATAAGTCCTTTCGGTCATTGTACCGTTACAGTCTCTAAGCGTGGAGACGGAACGGACGAGCGAGAGACTGTGGAAGAGTCTAACCCTGTTCCAGAGTAAAATCGCTGTTCCAAAGCAAAATCGCTGAAAACCATACCTTTTTCCAGTAGTGCGAAAATAGATACCCTGTTTCAGAGAGGAGAGAGCGTGATTTCATATACCCTGTCCCAGAGCGAGAGCAATTTTATATACCCTGTTTCAGAGTAAAATCGCTGAAAACCATACCCTGTTTGGCGGCACGTACCCTTATTGGGAATATAGGGCAGTACTACCCGGGCAAAATTCGCTACGACTATCACAGGATTTTAGAATTACACGACACAACTCATGTCGTAAGTATGACGGGAGCAGGTTGCATGCGATGGTTGTAGGCAAAAATCGTACCGTCTATAAGAACTATCGACCGACATAAATATTTATCTATATYTTAAACCAGGATTATGCGTTTTTAGAGTAAAAATAATACGATGATATTTATAGAAATAAATAAACCTTTATAGAAATAAACAGAACTTATCATAAAGCATCAATACTAGTCTTGTACCTGGGTGAGCTGACACGGTTGGCCGTCCTTCAGCATCAACTTTCTGCAACCAAACACAAATATATTTTAACGTTTTAATCTTGTTCCTCATCCAAATTTATCGAACAAAATGTTCTATACTCTACCTGCAGTGTGTAAACACGTTTCCCTTCATTATCTAGATAGTACATGAGATGCATTTTTGATAGGACAACTATTACGTGAAATTCTACTACATAAAACAGCACGTGGCTTTGTTCGTAATCTGGTCCCCGAGCCTGCGTTTTCTACTGGTCAGCAACATGTGTAGCTGAGAAAGACTGGACCATTTATTATATACATTATTCTCCTGACGTAAAATYAAGAGCGCCCGGTTAGCTCAGTCGGTAGAGCATCAGACTTTTAATCTGAGGGCCAAGGGTTCAAGTCCCTTATCGGGCGATCGAAAATTTTTTTTCGTCCTTCTTGTGTTAGTGATTTAAATTTTTATTTCAAAAGTACCTGATTTTATAGAATTATTTTTATTCCTCAAGATGTTCCTAACGTCGATACCTTTGTCGGAAACATTCGATTTCTACATGTAAGTAAGAAAAAGTAAAAGAAAATAAGTTTATTATGGCAAGCCAATGGTAGCAATATTTAATACACAAATAAAATATTTAATCCACGAATGAAATATTTAAATCATGGCTTAAATATTTAAAAGCGTAAAATATATTTAATTTAAACTTTAATTTTTTTATTTATTCCTTTTTTAATTTTCTGAAATTTAAAATTTGTATTTAATTCTACATTTTTTTATTTAAACTTCATAAATATCTTTAAAATCAAAATTATTTATTTAAACTTTACATTTTCATTTAATATTCCTGGGACGGGCTCGGCCAAATCTGTCTGGGAACGAGAATCGAATGCTAATTACTCATTTTGAGGACGAACAAGGGTTTTGTATGCGTCAGCTTTGATGGGTTTTTGGTGAATTTGCAAGTTCCGTCTCAGAAAGCCTATGGATGAATTTGCTTTCTTGAATACAGAGCATATATGTTCATTCCAAGAGAGCTTATGATGTACAGTGACAYCAAGGTGCTTAACTGCATCTTTTTCCTTAAGGGTCTGGTTGTGTAGGACGTAATCATAGATTAGAGGCTTCCTACGCCGTGTGACTCAAAGCACATTATATTGTCAGGGTGGAAAGACATCTGCGACTTATTTTCCCATTCTTCAAGAAGTTTAAGATCTTTCTGTATGGCGGCAGCATCGGTTTCAATAGTCACAGTCATATGCACTATAGTATCATCCGCAAATGCAAGGGCGGATCCAGGGGAGGGCAAAGGCCTAGGGGGGCTGAAGCCCCCCCTTCAGCAGAAAAAAATGATGCTTTTTTTATATTGTTTTCCGTTGTGTTGACGGAAGAAACTCAATTACACCCTCCCCCCCCCTCCTAAACTCAATTAGCCCCCTCCCCTAAAATTTTGGCTGGATCCGCCCTTGAGGAAATCATCAGCTATTTCCTTTGCACCCTCAAGGCCTTCCAGGGCAATAACCATTCTTCTTTGAAACTCTTCTGAAGCTGGTGCAAGACCAAAGGGCATGCCTTTAATATCTGCCCCATGGTGTGCTGAATGCACTAAGATCTTTACTTGGCTCGTCAAGTTTTACATGCCAGAACCCGTTTTTTTGCATCAAGAACAATAATACCCGAGCATGCTTCAATACCTGAGCTCACAACAATGCAAGTTTCAATATCTTATCCAAAATCAAAAGGACGGCCATGTTATTAGCGGTTTAAGGAAAAAGGGCTATGGGCAAGACGAAATCGACCTGGTCTTCAAAACAATCGTGCTTTCTAAATTAGAGTACGGTCTTCCTGTTTATGGAGCAAGCGAGGCAGACCTAATAATTCAGTATCGCGATTCACTAAATAGTTTCTTATATTTTTGAGACGACAATATTTTGTGGTATTGACGTCTCAAGTCAAGTGTTTTGATTGGCTATTACGCGCGTGTTTTGACAGCTCATTGTTCTTGTCAACCAATAAGAAACAAGCTGGTGTTGAGTAAAAATTATTTTATTCAAGCAAAGTTGAAATCAAATTCGTTAACATTTTGTACGTTCTTCATCAAACTCATGAAAATTCAAGTTTATCACTGGAAAAAAAGGAGGGAAGCTAACAAAAGGTAAGTTTTTCTCGATAAAAAANAGCAAAAAACAAAAACAAAACCCAGAAGAAATTCGGATTGGATTTTTTAAAGAAACAACTGTGTTGTGGAAACAGAAAAGAAACCATCTTTACCAAATTTATCATGATTGATCGGACGAACACTATGATTTAAAACTATAAAACGTCTGCTGGCAAAAACTAAGTAGTATATATTGTCTAAAAGAATTCACAGCTACAAATGACATGCACAGGCTTGCTTTTAGTTTTCGATGTGTTGATATTTATGAGATAAAAAACACGTTTCCACCTCCGATAAGACATGGATTTTTTGAAGACAAAACACATTAAACTCTGACAAATACTCGACTCCCACCATGAATTACTTACCGGAAATGCATGGAATAAGGTGGCGGGGATTTGAGCTGTGCGGGTAAACAAGTCTTTAATATATAAGCACGTTGGACGTAATAGGATGTGATTGACAGATGATGTATTAAGCGATTGCTTGCACCTCAGCAGAAAAAATTAAAAAAAATTAAAAAATGAAGAATTAGATAAATTTTTATATTGTTTTCCGTTGTGTTGACGGAAGAAACTCCCCCCCCCCCCCCTAAAATTTTGGCTGGATCCGCCCTTGAAATAGTCGAACTTTGGACTGTAGTTTAGCTGGAAGATCGTTGATATATATTGAAAATAGTAACGGTCATTAAAAATAATATCGGTCAGGTATGGTAGCCATTTTTGCTGTTAGCATTCGATTCTCGTTCCCAGACAGATTTGGCCGAGCCCGTCCCAGGAATATTAAATGAAAATGTAAAATTTAAATAAATAATTTTGATTTTAAAGATATTTATGAAGTTTAAATAAAAATCTGTAGAATTAAATAAAAATTTTAAACTTCAGAAAATTAAAAAAGGAATAAATAAGAAGATTAAAGTTTAAATTAAATATATTTTTTACGCTTTTAAATATTTAAGCCATGATTTCAATATTTTACTTGTGTATTAAATATTGCTACCATTGGCTTGCCATAGTTTATCTTCCCCGCCCGCTTCATTTTATTCAGCCGCCTTTTTTGTTTTTTCTTATTTGTTATTCCACCTAGTTGCTAAAAATCGAAACGAAAAAAAGTAGTCGTTTCGAACCGAGTCTCCCTCAATTTGGTACGAAGAGAAATTTGGTACTTTTGTTAATAATAGATTTTTAGAAATMCGGACGATAAACATGTAATTTTTTTTACTTGGCCTAATTCTTGTAGTTTCCGAGGCTCTCTTAGGGTGTTACCCATGTCGTTTGTTCTTCATCCAAATTTCACAACTACCTGCCTCAATTTCGGAATGTTCTTGTGTTGTTTGTGGGAATTCTAGTTTGTGGCTAAAAACAATATAGGTTTATCTTGTTAGTTTGGAAAGAGGAGGGAATAGGGGCTTAGGTAATTTTAGAAATTATCCATATCCCAATTTCGTAAATAAAGAAAGAGAGAGAGAGAGAGAGAGAAATCCACAATAATCCTAATACCCTTACATGGCCTCATAAATGGCAACTTTTTACAATGTAAATACTAACAATTTTTGTCGCTGCATGTAGTGCAAAAGGAATTATAAGCTCCAAGAGATTAACCCTATCAAGAAAATCTCCTAAGATTTAATTGGAATTTAGGAATGTTGAATTTTGTGGACGGAAGAAAAATCAAAGAAAAACCCTGAAAGCAAGGAAGAGAATCAACAACAAACTCAACTCACATTTGTAATAGACAGCATTCAGATCCTGGCATTCTCACTGCTACATGCCACCTGTGCTTCCGCAGCTTGAAATAATAAATTTATTTATTTATTTAAGCAAATTAAAATATRAAGAAAATCCAGGACTTTTTGAAACACAAATGGGAAAAATATGCTGATTGTAAAAACTCCAGTAATGTTCTTTATTTCATTTTTCATCTTTCAATGACAATCTTAAAATAGTGAAACATACAATTGACTTGTGCCYTTGCTATTAATTGTAGATATAGTCATTCTTAGGCACAAATTAATTCAAATGTTGTGAATACTTTGCAAGATTTTTAGAAAAGTATAGTTTTTAGTAGTTACCTTTTTCATGCATTATTGCACCCCTAATTGATAATAATCATTATACATAATGATGCACTAGTTAAGTGAACCCCCTTTCGGACCCCCGAGACCAGGCCAGGCAATATTGGTTGACAGGTGTCGTGGATTTTCCACGAATCTAGAGTAATTCTAATAATAAACCCTGTGATTGAGATAAATTATAATTTCAGAGCCCTGCGTCACCCCTTAGATTATTATGGGATAGGTGAAGCACATGGATGTAAAACTACTGAGTTTTGAAGAAATAATGAAAAGAGTTAGACAACAGAAGAGCATAGTTTTTTCCACCACAACAGGGCATCTGGGGCCTGTTCTTACATTTTACCAATAGTAACTTCTTCATACATTCATGTATAGCTGTAAAGTTATGAAACATGCAAGCCCATATATAATAGTGTTAATCTATATTATATAATATATACATCTGCTGCACTACGCATGCAAGACTATTCAGACAAGGACACCTATTTAAAACAAAAGGTGTCAGAGGCAAAAGGAGATCTGTGGTGATAGGCAATACTTATGTCATTCCAAGAACGAAAGGAATAATGGACATGCATCCACATAAATAATCAAGGTGCTTCAAATGGCTTATTTCCTCTCCGTTTCATTTACTAGCAACACTAGCTGGATATCTCAACACAAGCTAAGCCTCAATTTTCTTGACAAGAATTATTTAGCAGAGCCAAAGGAGATAGATAGAAACAAATGAATATGTCTCAACACTAACCTCCACGTTTTGGATGAGAATAAGAAAAACTCACAGGTCATTCCAGCTATTCTTGACTAATGGAATATCTCCTATTGCTTATTTCCTTTGGTTCCAATGACTTTTTTGAAAATGTGTAGGTGTGTGTGTGTTTGTGTGTGTGTGTGTGTGTGTATTAGATCAAAAAATTGATAATAGGAATTGGTCCCTTCTTGATTATCAATTACAATATAAAATATCAATAATCTAAATAATCTAAATGATAATAGAAGCAAATCTGAATTTCAACATTTGAGAATAACAAAAATTACTGATTTCACATTATTTAGAAAAATGCTTAATTCATATCAAAATTTTTATCAGTTCCTTTGAACTCACAGTTATTTTGTTAAAATAATAATTCACCTTGAGTTATTACATTTAACCCATGAAACAAATTAAATAACAAAAAAAAAAAAAACTATTTAGGGAAAAATAATTAATATTAAAAATTAATGTCTATCAGACTAGGTCTTTCTTTCAATACGATTAATGGGTGACTCATGCCATCAAGATTTTGTGATAACCAATGCTACCAATAGAATAATTAAAATCACAGATATCAAGATGATACACAACATCTTTCTTGAACTTTTTTGATGCTGTTCAGCCTGAGAAAAAATAGACATGCCAAGCAAATTAAAGAGGATTGAAAGGAGAAGGATTTCTAGTCTAATCAATTAGTTGTACCATTACCTTTTTAAGTTGCTCAAGTCCTTGCTCAACCTTAACAGAAGCTTGTTCAATATTATAATCTATTCTGTCCAATATTGTGCCCTATACAAACATGTTTTAATGAATAAAATTAATATAAAAAGTATAATGACATGACTGTGTAGTTCCAAAAAGAAGAGAGGAATATTTATTAAAGAACCCCCTTCCCCCAGAAATAAACAAACAATAAATAAAAGAAATAAACATTCATTAACTAACTCAATCATTTATAAAACCAATCAATCAATAACAATGACATATACAAGAAAATGTCACTCAAAATTATATGGTAAATATACTGGAAGAATAAAAAGTACCCACATTTAATGACCTACTTTGCTATCTTACCTGCTCCACGATCATTGTTGCAAGATCTCTGAAGATTTCATTTAATTCTGATATTGACTGCACTATAGACTGAATTTCTTTTTCTCTTAGTTCAATAATTGCTGTATTATCCTCAACCAGTCTCATCTGTTCACTTGTAAAGCCCTACACACGTGTTGAATGTGACACAAAGATATTAAAACCTACACATCTGATAAAAAATCCACATGACTATTAATTTTATGAAGACAGCAACCAGTTATAATTATATTATTTTTTCTATTTCTTAGTTAATAGAGTGCACTCACTAAAACCGTGAACAT